CACAAACTTACCGCTGCGTCTCACAAACTTACCGCTGTGTCTCACAACATTATTTGACACCAGCTTTTCTTTTCTTTTTTGTTAAATAATAAAAAAGAGAAGAGGAACTCACTGCTCTTCCACTACAGCTGCTCTTGTTACTGGACTCTTCTTTGCTCCTCTTCCTCCCCTCCTCTGCTGTTTTCTCTTCTTCTTCTTCTCTCCTACAATTTCTCCTTCCTTTAACATTACCTCCACCACACTCCCATCTTTCTTTTTCTTCATTCTGGTGTTGTTATGGTCTGTTGTTAACGTGGATACTCCTTCAATCAGCCCGGTCTTGTGTTTTTTCTTCTTCTTCTTCTTCTTCTTTTCTGTCTCACTGGTTTCTACGGTGACCGGCGTCTCCTCCACCACTTCCTGTTTCTCTTTTTTCTTCTTCTTCTTCTTCTTCTGGCTGCTTGTATCTACATCAGCAGCAGAGGGAGGAAGACTGACTTTCGCTATCTCTTTTTTCTTCTTCTTCTTCTTCTGGCTGCTTGTATCTACATGAGCAGCAGAGGGAAGAAGACTGACCTCCTCTTCCTCCCTTTTCTTCATCTTCTTCTTCTCTACTCTCTCAGGTGTATCGATGTCCACAGGTAAAGGACATTCTTCCACTTCTGACCTCTTCCTCTTCTGATGGAAGGGAGAACCTGCTGTAGGATTCATGGCAGGAGGAGGTGAAGGAGCTGCTTGTTGTTGAAGCTGTAAAACAAGAAACCAAATGAAACAGCGTTGAGCTTTAACGGTTCTCGTCTCCGAGATGTTTCATGAAGGAACAGACGGTTCTACATATTCTATGTAACATGATGGTAGATCCATGTTTATCTCTATGTAACCACAGCAACTAGAACAATGAAACAGAATAACATCTCAACAAGGACACACTGGGAATCGAACCTGTAACCTTAAGATTCAATCAGTGCAGTGAGAACAACACATGGGTTCTACACAGGAAGATTCACCTGGGGATTACATTTAATAAACATTTAAAGATACCGATCAGGTTTGTCTCACATATCGATCAGTAGATGTTGTTTATCTTGTTCATCTGTGCTTTCTTTGTTCCTTTGTTGTCTCCGTAATCAGATGACGTATTAACCGACTCATTTTCCTTTGATCCGGATGTTATTGGTTGTTTGATCTCTGCACGTGATGTTTTTAATAATTTAAGAGACTCAGAGCAGTGGAACCAGTATGTCTGAACACCAGTTAGTGTGTAACACCGGGTCTCCAGACTCAGACCTCAGTCCGGGTCCGGTTCCGGGTCTGAAATGTAATATATAATATATATAATTATATTATTTGAATCACTCACCGTCTCAAACGTTCCTCAGCGAGTACACGCGGGCGGAAGGCGGCACGCTGCTCGTTTGCTTCCTGTTTCCTATCAGCGCATGCGCAGTGAGTCTCAAAGAGCAGGCGGTGAGGAGGTCTCACTCTGACTGAGTTTCCTGATCCTTTCTGTCATGTAACGTTGTATAAACCTCTCATTGTTAATTTATTTGACTCTGTTTATTGGAACTCATTTCTGTCTTTGTGCTGCTGCAACAACCATAAAGGTACATTTTACTTATGAGTACTTTTACTTTGATTTAGCTACTAGTACTTCTGTACTTTCATTAAAGTAAAGTTTCTCTTTTATTCTTCATGCACATAAAAGTTTGTTTTCATGAAAAATTAAACTCTGACACATTGTTCCAGTAAATGAAAGTAATTCATGTTTATATGAGTTTACATTCTGTTCATTCATGAATCTGATGTTTAAATATCAGTAAAATGTTACAAGATGTCTTCAGATGTTACACTTTAACAACTCTACAGGACAGAGGGGTTATGGTTAGACAACACAGGGGCCCAGGACCTGGTTCAGGTGTGCACCTGGTTCAGGTGTGGACCTGGTTCAGGTCCAGGTGATCTATGTAATGAGTAATGTTCAATGTATTTCCTCCAAACATTAGTAAAGATGATTAAAACATCATAAAGTCTGCGTTTTGTTACGTCCATGTTTACCAGATAACGGTTTTAATGTGTAATGATGTCAACTCACAAACACATGAACTCTAAAACCACTAAGAGGCCATCATAGGAGCCCAGACGGCTGGTCTCAGGTCAGACCTTCAGGGTCTGGAATTAGTTCAGAGTCTTCAAGGTTTCCACATCAACACAGTCTGGATTCTGATTTCAGTCTGAATCCTGCAGAAGACCAGATCCCTGTTCTGTCCCACAGTCTGTTATGTAGGAACAGAACTTGTAGTCTTTGAAGAGCACTAGAAGCTCAGTGGGGCTCTGATGGACTCTCTCAGACTCCTAATCACTGATGGTTTTGAGGATGGTGGATGTTGATGTGGTCCTCAGAGGGCATCGGCAGCAGTGAGGCTCTCTGTTCGTCCATCCTCCTGGACTGAACCCTCTGAATCAAGCTGAACAAATCCTGCTGATCTTCAGGAACCGGACCGACCACATCATCCAGATCAGGAAGGGAGCACCTCTGGTCCTCCATCCTGTCAGACTAGAGACAGACACAGTGAGACGGGAAGACACAGTGAGACGGGAAGACAAGCTAGTGAAATGCCCGGAATATATAGGGAGGTGGGTACATATACATATAAATATTCACAAAGTTCTCGGTTCGGTTCAGTACGATACAGTGGTGCCACTGTTCGGTACGTTTTCAATGCAGCAAAAAAGCAGAAAAGCCAAATCCTCTCTGAGGCTCTCTGAGTTGATTCTCTGTTTGGGCTTTTGTTTTCTTTTACAAAGCAGGAATGATGGTCTGGAGAAATGGGCTGGTGAAGGAGTAGTGTCACGGGGCTCAATAGCATTAAGCATGTTGGTGCAGCCTGGTTTATCACTAGAGGAGGGATATCTACTATCTATATATATATATCTATCTGATATATATACACATATATATATATATATATATAGTATTGCCATAGGACATGCTGGTACCTGGTAGTGGATGAGCATGTAGTAAAAGTCCGGACTGGGCGAGGTGGGCTGCTCGGGGCTGCAGGCTCCACAGGGAGAGGCTGGTCCTGGGTCAGGCAACAGACTAAGGCTGGCTCTCTGGACCTCCAATCTCTGAGCCTGACACTCCAGGATCAGGTCCAACAAGGCCTCCGGCTCCTCCGGCTCCTCCGGCTGGCTGCTTCCACGCTGCAGCAACAACAACACAAGGACCAGCCACGAGTTATTAACGTGATTACACTTTCAAGAAGCCCGATCAAACATGCATTACTCTGGATCAGGTCTTACAGCCCAAGATGCTCAACATTCTCCCAGATCCTTTCTTCACATACTTTTACAATCTATTTATATTGTAATGATCTGAGTGGAGGGTCTGAGGACAGAAGGTGCTGTGTGCTGGACTACAAACCAGATCACTGGCCCATTCTGGATCAATCTGGGAAGTGTTTGATGGTTTTATGGCAGCAGAAGCTGACCGTTACCTTGATTGTGGAAGTCATGGTTCTGGTCCTGGAGCTCAGAGTAGAGCCCAGGCTCTGAATCCGAGGCCTGGTGGAGCCGTGGCTGCCTCCAGGACCAGGACTTGGCACGGGAGTCATTAGGCCTCTGAGGGTCCTGAGGGGTGAGGTGGAGGCTGAGGTTCTGGTGCTGGTGTTGCTGGGACTGTCGTGTCGCGGTCTGGTCTCCAGACTGCCGTTACGGTGGGGGGGTGGAGAGCATTTAGGAGCCTTCCCTCTGATTCTCCCGTTCTGATGAGAAGGTGAAGACAGAGAGGGAGGAGCTACACCTGAAAGCTTTCTGTCAGCCATGATGGGGCTGTGGGCAGGACTAAAGGCACTGCTGTCATCAGTGGGAGGGGCTAAATCTGGTCAGAAAGAGAGAAGGGCAGGAAGTGAGACACAGACCCTCCTTGAGACGGTCAAAAGGTCAAAAACTTAAGTCGTACTTGTCATCACAACTTCTCATGACGTCAAACAAAGATGTGAAGCAGAAGTACTTTAAACTTGATGAAAGTTAAGCTTTAGATGGACGAAGGCTCAGTGGTAGATCGGGTCCTCTATTAACCACAAGGTTGGTGGTTCGAAGCCGGGCTTCTAATGTCAAAGGGTTCACATGACCACTAAGATCAATAATAAGACCAATGAAACTGTCGTATAACATTATATATATCTCTCTCTCTATATATATAGATATATATAGATATATCTATATATATCTATATATAGATATATAGATATATCTATAAAGATATATATGGAGATATATAATATATATATATATATAGATATATATATATATATATGGAGATATATAATATATATATAGAGATATTATATATATATATAGAGATATTATATATCTCTATATATATATATATATAGATATATCTATATATATATTATATATCTCCATATATATCTATATATAGATATAGATATATAACATAATATCTCGTATGTTTCATGTCTATTTCTTCTCGTTGTATAATTTGCTGCTGTTTCATAAATATATAACATTATCTTAAACGTGTGAAAATATGACTTCATTAGGTTGGAATTGATATTAAAAAGTAATATACGTGTCACAAAGCTTTCTCTGATAAATATTGAGTTAATTGTTTAAGTTATGGAGGTACGTGTGTGTATTTATTCCTTCTCCTATTCTGACATATAATATTCATTTTTAAATATTAAGTTTGCTATATTTACTGTTTATTTTACTTGCGTTGTTTGTTACTTATTGGTTACATGTTTGAAATAAACACATAGAAATAAAGTGAAACTGTCCACTTATATTTATCTACATGAGGTTCTGGCAGAAGAAAGCATGAAGCCGTTTTACTGGTTTATGTGGAACATGTGGGACGGGGACTGACAGGAACAAGTTCTCTGCACTAGAGAGCTCTTACACTACGACTAGAGGACATGTTCAGCTCAGGTTCAGACTGATCCATCTTTACATCAAAGACATTTGAGAAGTTGAACATTTGGGTCGCGGCTTGTCCTGAAGGATAGGATGGTGGGTCCTGCAGCCAGACCAGTTGAGAACCACTGTGCTAAATGACTGTAATGTACTGTGTGTGTGTGGGGGGGGGGGTCCATCAGAACCACTGCCTTAAATGACTTTACATCACAAGTTGTAACAGAACGGAACTCATTAAAAAGACGTATCTTCATTTGTACAAAACTAAATGAACTCTGAAAACTCTGAACATCAGATCGGGCTGAAGAGATATTTGTGTTTTTGTATTTAGTTTATTATGCGTTTGAAATATCCAATCATGCTAACTAGCATAGCATTTTGTAAAGTAAACTCTTGCCAGTTACATCATGAAAAGCATGTTGGTCTTTTGTCATCCAGATATGTTTTACACCTCAAACATTGTAAATATTTAGGAACAACTAATCTTTGGATGAAGTGATGAAACACTTACGAGGGCCGACCGCTGTCACCACTTCTGTCCTGCACATCCAACACTTCCAAACTTCTGTCAGTGTTAAAGTGTTAAAGTGTTAAAGGAGGAGGACTGGACCTGGAGAGTCCGGGTTTAAGTGGAGCTGCAGCAGAAGTAGGTCAACACACAACACAAAGGACACACACATGAATGCTTCACATCTCTTCTTCATTCAGTGAAACACAACAGTGTATCACTGCCTAGTGGCCGCCAGAGGAAACAGACTGAGCAACAGAAACATTTAACACCAACACACAGGAATCACTGTTTCGCTTTGTAAAGTTTGGCTTCAAAGTCACAACTAAAGTCTAGTGGAGACAACAAACAGCTGGAGAGACACAACGTTTGATTCAAGCTTTAGATACTTCACCTCAACATCACAAAGTGCTCTTCTTCTTCTTCTTCTTCTTCTACTTCTTCTTCTTCTTCCTCTTCTTCTACTTCTTCTTCTTCTTTCTATTCGTTTCCTGACGATCTTCTTTCTCTTTTCTCTTGTTTTACTTCTTCACTGTCGTCTCGTTTCTCCACCGACTGAAGTTT